ATGTGTTACAGATGTGTGAATAAATCTTCCATCTTAAGGCCAGCCCCAAGCATTTTGGGGTAGTTAAAGAGTCTGCAGTTGACCAACCTGTAACATGTTTTCCCAGCGGCAGTTTCCCAAAGATAAACATGGTACTCTTATTAGAATCAAAGCTCAGCCAAGCTTATAGCAAAACAACTTGCCTTTGATCTGCCATTGAGTTGTGTGCCTATCAAACAGTACATTAAAACAGTCTGTCAATATTAGCTTGATTTTTGCCCTTGGCACAGAGTGTATACAGTTCCTACAGTGTAAGTAGGTTTGGAAACATTGTGGGCTTTTATCTTTATTTTTTTTGACAACACAACACATAATCACAATAAATGTTTTCAGTGCTAAAAAATTTTCACAGGCATTATAATGATGATGCACAAGTATCAAGTTCTTATATTTAAGACAGAAGAAAAGTAGCGTTAGAACTTCTTTGCTTCAGAATATTTTGATTTTTTACTTACTTGCCCAATACATATGGAAAGCAACATAGCAAATGTGCATTCCTACTATCTTCAGAGCACACAGCAGGAAACACAGTATAAAACTAGCCTTTGGTGAGTCAAGCAGAGGTAGATTCTCAAATCATGGAGGAACACTGATTATGATCACGTGGTTGGGTTTTCTGAGGGAAGATGTATTCCCAACAATTTGTTGACATCATTAATAAAATTTTCATTTAGGTAAGCTAAGTTAGGCTCTAAAAGGAAAAAAACAGTGGGAATTAGAAAGATAGTAAGAACCTTCCTGAAGAAATAGCATGAGCAAAATATCAGGGCTTGCATCTTTAGAGCACATTTAGGGATAATTAAAGAATTTCAATTTGACTAGAGGGGGAAGTATCTCTGGGATGGCAGTAAACAAAGAGATGTTGGTAGGGGCCATAGTAGCAAGGACCTTCAGGGCCAAGCTGAGGCATTGGCATAAGAAATGACAAGCTTTAAGTAGGGGGGTTGTTGTGAACCTGGTAAAGCAAGAGGGTCAAGAAGGATCTGAAAGGGAAGTTGAAAATGAGTCATTACAGAGAAGGAATGTTTTGATAATAAAAGTTGCAAGACTGGACAACTTAATTAAAGGAAGAGGAATCCGAAATCGACATTAGAGTGATGAAAAAGGGAAACGAAGAGAAAGAACTGCTTCAGGGCAAAATAAGGTCCCAATGTGACCCTGGGTGGAAGATTAGGGATATCCAGAAGGCCACTGGGGTGCAGCTAGGGATGAGATCAAGCCAAAGATTGCAATTTAGGAATTGTCTCTAGAAAGATGGTAGTTGGAATTTACTTCTGAAAGATTCCCAAATGTATCCACCTCTCCCTCCTGCTGCTCCCACCTCATTCAGGAGTCATCATCTCCTACACTCAGTCTTTCAATGATATTATTGACTTAAAATAGTCCTTGAGAGAGAAAGAAATCTCTCTGACCTTGACAATAAAAAGCACTGCGGTATTCCAACTTGCTTCCAGTTTTCTGTAGCTGTGGGAATGATCTCTGATATTTTACTTAGTGAGAAGGTAAAGAAATGCCCAAGCTAGATGGAAAGGCGCCTGTGTTTGCATTGTAACTTACATTTTGAATGGCAAATGCACAGGTACAGAATCTACCAGCAGCTGTGAGGTCAGGCAGACATTCTGGAAATAAATATGCACCCAAGTGACGAACTGGATCGTCTGCCATGTCACCAAATGTTGCTCACTCTTGCAGTTTGTGCATGTTAAGTTTTTGGCAGATTTATTAATTCCTTTAATTAAAGAACTGGGAGGATATGAATAATGGAACTATTTTGTTCCTAACTGATGCAAAACTTTAAAACACATAATTAAAAATCTACTCCCAGAATTTTCCATTACAGAAGTTTTAAATTTTGATTTAATATATATATATGTCTTTTTGTTTCCTGACATTTTTTGTGGCTGGTGATTTTTGCCTAACCAAACACCTAAGATTTATGATTAACTTTTCATATAATGGGAATAGAATTTCTTTTTTAAGCCTTCTACTCTGAAAGAAGGAACCTTGTCCTCCTAAGAACAATTCAGTTACCTTCCAGGATGCTAACAATCCAATATAAGTGCAAAGAAGAAATGAATCTCTTTTTACAGCCTTTTCTAAGTTTCTCTTAAAGATTTTTAAAATGTACTTTTTATTTTTAATTGGCATATAGTAGTTGTACATATTTATGGAGTATATTGTTTTATTTTGATTCATGTATAATGATCACATCAGGGTATATAACATCTTTCTCAGACACTTATCATTTCTCTGTTTGGAGCATTCAAAATCCTCTCCACTAGATATTTTGAAATATATAATTAATTGTTGTCAAACAAAGTTAGTTCTTTTACTCATCTATAGAATATTAGAAGTTCTTCCTCCTGTGTCCATTATCCATCCTATCTCCATCACCTCTCCCTCACACCCTTCGCAGACCCTGGTAACTACTGTTCTTCTCCATATGAAGGTTTTTCTTTTTAAAAATAATAATAATAAACCCAGAGCCAGGTGCAGTGATACACACCTATGATCCCAGCTACTTGGGAGACTAAAGCTGGAGGATCCCAAGTTCCAGGCCAGTCTGGGCAACTAGCAAAACCCCCTTTCAAAATAAAATAAAAAGTGCTGGAGGTAGCTCAGTGGTAGAGGGCTTGCCTAGCCTGTGTGAAGTCTTGGGTTTAGTCCCCAGCACAGCACAACAAACCAACCAACCTGGAAAAGTATTTGACAGCTTAAATGATCAGGATCATTTCTTACTCTATGCTATAGTTATAGTTGGAACCACAGCCTGAATTCTTATCACTTATAAAATTGACCTAAGGACAGTAAATGGGACTGCAAATCCAAACCAGTTTATGTTAAATAAATATAAGAAAAATGTCTTATAAAGAAGGCCTTTTAACAAGCAGAATTAATTTGCAGATACTTTGTAGAGAAAAATGAAATAAGCAAGATGATGTCAGAATTGTGTTCAGTCTTCACCACTCCTAGCTAGAGGAAATGATTCCAGGTGCCTGTTAGGAACATCCACAGTGTTGTTACAGTCTAATTAGAATTTGTTTTTGAGGCCAGTTCACTACTTTGGGGGAGGAATCATTTACAAATGAGTACTGTGGGCTATGCAGGGAATATGGTTGAGTCTTTACCAGATGAAACCAGGAATGTTCTCCATAAAGATTATAAGGCAATCATTTTAGAGCTATTGACCAGAATTGCAGGGTTGAAGGCCTGTCATTTCCTGTTGAACATCCAGGCAATACTATGGGTAACCACAAACCCAGAAATTTTAGAGAAATCAAAATTGGCCAAAATAACACTGGTAAGAGGCTGTGTCCCTGCATGCCTGACACTAAACAGTCTTGTTTTCCATGGTCTTGCTGCTTCTAACAGGGCAAGACCCCACCATGGAGAACTGACTGATGCTCAGGCATTGGGTCAATAGTCAGAAGTACTACCTGTCACTCCTCCTTCCTCCTCCAATCCTGACTGCACTTCTTAGGTTAGGGAGGCTGCTTCCACATCACTGTCAGACCACTGTCAGATCTCTTGGGTTAGAAAATCCCATGTCTCAAACTTCTAAAATAATGAGATTCTATTCTCATCTCCTCTTGTCTGCCTCCTTTCTGAAAGTACAGACTTAGTAATTTGAAAGATGAAGGGGGACCATTCCATGGTATTGGACACTCACAGCCCCCTCTCAGGTGTCCTCATTAATGGCTAAGATGCTACCCAAGGAAAACCATCTTTTGAAGACTGTGTATATATATCCCAAAGTCTTTGTCAGATACCATCCATGAAATGACACTGATAGGTCTTTTGAGTCCCTAGACCTTATCCCTTCTCTAATATATCATGATTATCTGACCAAAAACAGTTGAGTTTAAGAAGAATGAGAAGCTGGCCAGGCACCGTCGAGCACGCCTGTAATCCCAGCAACTCAAGAGACTGAGGCAAAAGGATTACCAGTTCAAGGTCAGCCTCAGCAACTTAGTAAGACCCTGTCTCAAAATTAAAAATAAAAAGGGCTGGGATAAAAAGAAAAAAAAAAAAGAGTTCATTGTAGGGGAGAATTATATACAAAGTAGTAGGAAAAAAAATTATAGAAGAAAACACCCAATATTCAGACACTTTTCCTAAACATTCTTTCTCTACCTAGGAAGGGTTCCAAGTGTCAAAGCCCCCTGAACTCTGAAACCATTTTGAAGGACTCTTATCTAGTCCATGTCACCTGTCATTTTTCTTTCAGAGCATTGCTATCTCTTTTTTTTTGTAGATACATTCAATTATTTTTCATTTCTTCACCTCCCCACTCTCTGCTGTTTGGATAATTAAGCATTAAGTCCTATTCTTTGTTGAGATCATATATTTTTAAAAGACTGACTACAGGAAACTAGCAACCTTGAGATATAGGCTTTGAAAAGGAAACCAATAAACTTAGCAAGAGTTAGATTTTTGAGAACAGAATCCAAGCAACCACACATTCCAGCTGAGTCTTCATGCTGAGGAAGTTACAAGCTTGTAGAGACAATTGGCCGTTGGTTTCTAGGCTCTAGAGCTTATTAAGAGTGTGAATGCTAGAGTTGACCACTTAGGTCTCTGTCACATGCTGTGTGTTACTGAGCAAATTGCTTTATTTTTCTATTTTTTTTTTTTTTTTGGTCTCTAGAATAGAGCCAATAATAGTACCCAAATCATAAAGTGGTTATGAGGATTGAATGCAAGTGAAACACTTAGCACCTGGTGCATGGAAAGTTTTCAGTAAATGCTGATAATAAAAAACATTCACGGAGGTTTAAGAAAAGATGTGCTTGCTTTAGATTTGCATAAAAATTTCATCTTGCAGCCACTGTACCAGTCCTTTCTGCGTGTGGCCTAATAATAACCTCAAGTGTTTTTATTGGGATTTTTTTTTTTCCTCCATCAGCCACTCCACAGGAGGGATGCAAGAGCAGTACATCTACATATTTAGAGCTCTCTGATTCCATGCAGATGAGACTTATAAGCCATTTGGGTTAACTGGCTTCTTGGGTCTTTTTCTTCTTCAGGTGCTGGAAAGCTTCAAGATCATGGACTACAGCCTTTTGCTGGGAATCCACATCTTGGACCATTCCCTTAAAGACAAAGAGGAGGAGAGCTCACAAAATGTGCCTGATCCAAAGCGGCCTGGGATGCAGAAAGTTCTCTATTCAACAGCCATGGAATCCATCCAAGGTCCGGGGAAATCTGGAGATGGGATCATCGCAGAGAACCCAGACACGTAAGTGCAATCACATGCCCACCCTGATTGTGACAGCCCCTGCCACTGAGTAATTTCAAGTAGTCACATCCCCCCTCAGCACTGAAGCACTTAACACCTGGTACATGGAAATAGATGGCATTCTGAGAATGGATTCCTACATGGCACTAACATCCATCCAACCAGCCTTCATTTCTCTTCATCAAAGGATAAGTAGATAAGTGGCAGTGTTCTGGTTGTTGTTGTTCTTTCACCCACAAAATTTCTTTTTTCAGATGTCTGCATTTTCCAAAAATGGTCAAAAATGTTTCTGCTCCCATTTACTACATATTCAAAGTATCAACCATAAGAGGGAAGAATAAACTTTGGATTGAAATACCATATATTTAAGCAAATACAAGAATGGTGTTCACAATTCAGAGCTCTTTTTATCTGCATGAGGGGATTCTGTTGATCTAGTCCTACACCCTGGCAAATGTGGTCTCTCTCCTCAGCCAGATGTGATGGTAACTGCAGGATTCATTCGAATATGTAAAGTGCATATTGACAATGGAAGTAATTACAACCAAAATGATTATTGAAGTGGTTAACTGTATCAGATGCATGTATTAGCTAAGCAAGGAGACTGAAAAAAATCATTTTCTGAGGTTATAATGTCCTGATTTCTAGAATTCTCCAACAATATCTAAACCATAGGCATATTTTACTTTTATAAAAGAAATTAGTTGTAATATTTGCTTGTGATTATATCTAAATGTTCAATCATCAGTTAAATTATCCTATATCCATATGGTGAAACACTACATGCTATTAAAAATCACAGTATATTGAATGTAAAGAAATGCTCATCAGCCAGGTGCAGTTTTGGAGGCTGAAATAGGAGAATCGTGAGTTCAAAGCCAGCCTCAGCAACAGTGAGGTGCTAAGCAACTCAGTGAAACCCTGTCTCTAAATAAAATACAAAATAGGGCTGGGAATGTGGCTCAGTGGTCAAGTGCCCCTGAGTTCAGTTCTCCGTACCAAAAAACAAAGAAAGAAAGAAAGAAAGAAATGTTCATCATTTAGTAAGTGAAAAAGATTATAAAACATAATAAATTAAATAATCCCCTTAATAGATTAATAAACATACTGCAAAGTATACCAAATATTAATAATTATCTCTTCATTCTATGAGTGGATTTTTTACATATTTTCTACATTCTTTTCTATGTTTTATGGGTTTTTTTATTTTTTTCAATGTTGATAGACCTTTATTTTATCCATTTATTTATATGTGGTGCTGAGAATCAAACTCAGTGCCTCACACATGCTAGGCAAGCACTCTACCCTTGAGCCACAACTCTAGAGGCTTATATTTTTTAATCTCAACAATAAACATTTTTTTGATCAGAAAAAGAGCATTGCATTTTTTAAAAATAATATTTATTATATTCTAAGAATTCTTGGCCATGCTTTTAAAATAGAAATAATTTTTAAATTGGATTCTTCTCATCCAACTTTTCAGAGCTGACAGCTATGATGTTTCTCCATTGTGGGAAAGTACATCATTCTGGATTGCCAGGAAGACCTTTAACTGGATGCAAAATATATATATGATGATGATAAAGAATTCTTAAAAGATATTATTTTCAATTTATTTATTATAAATATTTTTAATTTTATAGTCTTATAATATTCAATAAAATATTTTCTCTTTTGTTCTATCAACAGAATGGGAGGCATTCCAGCTAAAAGCCATAAAGGAGAAAAACTACTTTTATTTATGGGCATTATTGACATTCTACAATCATACAGGTGAGACATTTGGGGAAGTGATCTTTTATTATTTTCAAGTCATCCAAAATGTTTTTGAAAATTCATCAGATATGAGTGGTTCTGCATTTTCATGGTTATTTTTCTATCTGTTTACATGTAGGTTAATGAAGAAGTTAGAACACTCCTGGAAAGCTCTTGTTTATGATGGCGTAAGTAACAGATGTTCCTTATTAAACTGCATATATTTTTAGTTCCTCGGAAACTTGTACAAGTGTCTAGAAAACTGTGACACTGCGTGTTAAGAGGTGAGGAGCAAAGGTCGTTATAAACTCAGAGTCTTAGACTAATAGATTTGTCCACACTAAAAACAAAGACCACATAAATTCAAATAACTATTCATATAGATGACATCCAGCCTAGTGGCTTAGTAGAGGCCAAGAACAAAATGATAGCTGTTTCTGTGGGAAATGCAAAGCTCCCAATTATGAGATAAGGAGGGCAAAAATCTCTTTTCAAAAAGACGCTGAGAATAGTAGGGCTGTTGAAATAAGATTCTCAGGAGACCAGACCACGAGTAGCTTGATCCCTGAATTTGATGGTGGACACCCCTGGACTTGAACTCTGCCATCACCACTTGACCAGCCATGTGAGCAAGGTTCACTGCTTGTGATTTGGCCTCTCCTTGGTTTCCTTATCATAACAGAGCAATTATAGTAGTACTGGTCTGCTATGAGGATGAAATAAAATAATCCGTGTGCATATTCAGCCAGAAGCCAAACACTTAATAAGGGCACAGGAAGTGAAAATGTTTAAGGTGGTGCAGATTTATATGTGTTATGGATTTACACATTTATATACATGCTGACTGATAGGAAGATGTCACAAGAGTTATGGGTTTTTTTGTTTTGTTTTGTTTTTTGGTGCCAAAGATTAAATTCAGGGGTGCTTAACCACTGAGCAGCATCATCAACCCAAGAGTTAAGTCTTAATGTAATTAAAGAAAAATTTAAATATCAAAGAGAAAGTAGTCTTCCTCTCTCTCTGGCTCTCTCTCTCTTACGGGCACTGCACATGCACATGCGTTCACACACCCACACCCACAGAGACACATCTAGACATTAGATTTGAACTTCCTGCTGCTAACAGACCATTTATTGGCCCTAAGCCTCTCTCAGTTAATAACTTGATATGTCACATCCGAAGAATATATTGGTCAAAGATTTAGTCACACATTTCCTTTTAAGATGCTAGCAGATGCTTTACTTTGAAAGAAGATAAATTATGGATGCTGTTCTTTTCCTTTCTGGAAAAGAACACACATTTTTCAGTTCTATGGAAGACTGTTAATAACCTTTCAGCATGAGAGATCTGCATTTTGTCCACAGGCTAAGGACTGCCCTATGTCAGAATGCACTTTTAAACTTCAGGCTCACAAATTTGTTTCTAAGAATTAACCCAAGCCTTATCAGATCAAAGATTCCTCCTATGAAAAGGTCAGGGGTGGGCCTGGGGATGTGGCTCAAGCGGTAGCGCACTCGCCTGGCATGCGTGCGGTCCGGGTTCGATCCTCAGCACCACATACCAACAAAGATGTTGTGTCCACCGAGAACTAAAAAATAAATAAAAAAAAAAAAAAGAAAAGGTCAGGGGTAATTTGAATTCTCCTTCCAAATAAGAAAGGTGGGGACTACATCACCTTGAACATGGAAGGGAGAGAGAGAGAGAGAAATTCCCCTGGGTTATTCCTCTGCTGTTTTCTGAGACAAGTGTCCTTACCTGTTTATTACCAAGTGAGATTTCTGATCTCAATGACCTTGTCCTGCATCGGCCAGAGGCTTCTAAGAGAACCCTACCTTTGTCCATGTAAAACGTACCTTCTGATTGTAGTTTATTTTTTTAAGAAAATCTCTGCTGATTATGTATTTGTGAAATTATACATAATATTCAAGGCTTGTTTTTGTTTGTTCACAAATATGGCTCTTATTTAGACAGTGTTTCTTCCTATCAAAGAAAGCAGTAGTGGAACTCCTTTAAAGGCAAAGTCTCGGGTATCTATAGATATCATTGCATCCTACTTCAGACAACAGCTGCCAGGATCTGGGAAGAGTGCCTGTCACATTCCTGCCTTGCTGAGAGCCTGGAGGGCTGTTGTAATTTGGTGAAGATGGGTCTAGCATACCGTGTCTTTCATAACGTGCTAATTACAGAACTACAGATTGTCCTGGCTGAAAGCACATGTACCGCTCACATAACACACTATTTTACAGAGGCTGACCCTGAGGCCCTGAGCCTGGCTGATCCCAATATCCACAGCCTTTTGGGGTGGGGGCAGGAAGGGAATTGAACCCAGGGCGCTTAACCACTGACCTACATCCCTAGCCCATTTTATTTTTATTTTAAGATAGGGTCTTGATAAGTTGCTTAGGGCCTTTCTGAGGCTGGCTTTGAACTTGCAATCCTCCTGCCTCAGCTTCCCAAGCTACTGGGACTATAGGCATGTACCACCATACCCAGCTATTCACACAACCTTTTAAAGTTAGAACTTATACCAGAACCAGCTCTCCGGATTTCTGGTGAAGTGTGTTTTTTTCTCCCAGCAGGCATTTTGTAGTATCTAAGCTTAAATTCTTAGAAATTTCCCTATTAGAATCCATAACTTGAGCAGAATACAACAATTACTAATTGGGCATTATGTAAAATTATGGATGTGTAACCGACGTGATTCTGCAATCTGCATTTGGGGTAAAATTGGGAGTTCATAACCCACTTCAATCTAATGTATGAAATATGATATGTCAAGAGCTTTGTAATGTTGTGAACAACCAATAAAAAAAACAAAAAATTTAAAAAAAAAGAATCCATAACCTGGATTCAAAATGGAGCATCATACATATAAATAAACTTGCCATTTCTAGAAATGTACAACTTGAATGGTCAATAGATGACTGCTGATCGAACATAGAGAATCAGCCCTTCATCCATTCCCTTTCCTGGATTTGTAAATAAACGGCCCTTCAGTCCTAAGACTCCTGCCATGCATGAGAGAACTGAGTTGGCCGTGCAGGTCAGCTTTGGTTGATGGTAGGTAATTCAGTACAGTACCAGTCAACCATGTCTCCTGTGTATCCTCCTGGGTCTTCTTAAATTTCTAAGAATTTAAGCTTAGATACTACGGCTACTTGGAGATAACACCAGAACACTTTCTTAATTTAAATGTCACTCTTATATCAGTGTGCTTTGCTTATGTCCCCAGTTTTTGTTCATGACTGAAGGAATATCCTTCATTCTCAGCGGCACTGGAAGCACTGGTTACCTATAAGAAAAGGATTTGAAAGCACCTCCAGGGACACAATGTTATGAATAAGGATCAACTATTCCAATTTGGGTAGCAGAGTCTTCTGTCTGTCTCCCTTAGTGCTCTATTCACTCTAGAATCTTTGTTCTTGTTGAGTCTGGGTCCTCCCCCACAGCCCACGGTCCTGCAGGATATAGAACACTGTTCTCTAGCTCTTGACCACTGTTGATGAAAGACCTCAGCTGACAGAAAGACTTGCAAAAATCTTTCCTCTGCCTTGGGATGAATTCCCTGAGAGGTAAACCTTCGATCCTTGTTTTGTCTTTTCAGGACACCGTTTCAGTTCATAGACCAAGTTTTTATGCAGACAGATTTCTGAAGTTTATGAATTCCAGAGTTTTCAAGAAAATTCAAGGTAAGAGTCTTATGAAAATGTCTTACTTGTAGCGCTTAGTTGCTAACTTCAACATGTATCCATGCCAGAATTTTTCTGCAAAATTACTATTTAATAAACCAAACTTCCACATCCCTCATGTTGATCTTACTTGACATAGAACAATTATATATCCAAGATAGACTCTGCCATGAATAGATTTCCTCATGAATGAATTAATGACTTATAAAAAAGCAGATGGGAACTAGCTTAGCTTCTGTTTCCACTTCTGTCTCTTCTGTCATGTGAACACACCTCAATGGTGCCTTCTATGAAAAATAGGCTTTCACAAACACCAAGCTTGCCAGCTCCTTGATCTTGGACCATGCACGATTTTTATTAGAAGAGTTAGAACATTTTTTTCCCCTGTAGTGGTAAACACTTAGTGTGATTGATTATCCCAGTTATTTATTGATGCCATAATCATTAGTCCTATTTTCTGGTGAAGAAAATTAGAAGTTGTATTTATGTCCGGTCATAAAATATATTGGTTAAGAATATTCTGATACAGTCAAATCATGAAATAGTATGTAACCAATAAAAATGACCCATTAAAGGTATATTTAGTCCTTTAAATATTGATTTATTCACATATATGTAGTTATTGGTCTGTATACCTTAAATGAACAACAGAATTCTAACAAAATATATAAAACCATTAACAGTGGTTATTCTCATACAGTATTCTCCAGGATATAGAGTAAATGTGAGACCAGAAAATAAATTTTAATCAATTAAAAAAGATCAAAGTTATGCATAGTATCTTTTCTGATCACAGTGGAATGAATCAATAAAGAACAAAAACTAGAAAACTTACAAATATGTGGAAATTGAATAACACGCTCTTAAAATATCAATAGGTTAAAGAAGAAATCACAGGGAAATTAGAAAACTGAAACCAATGAAAATGAAAACACACATTCCAAAAATTTATGAGAAAGACAGTGTTCAAGGGAAAACTTAGAGATGTAAACACCTATATTTTAAAAATAGGGAAAATAATACATCAGTATTCTAACTTTAAACCTTGAGTTAAAAAAAAAAGCAAACTAAACTCAAAGCTAATAATGGTTATTTTGAGTTGAAAATTATGTGGGATCTTGTTTTCTTTCTTATTGGTGTTTATTAAATTTTCTACAGTATATATGTAGTATTATGTAGTAAGTTTTTTTAACTATGTGATAGAAGAAAATAACACTGTAATGCATGCATTGTTATTTTATAATTTAGCCATTCTGTGGTCCACTTTTATAACCCAGAACATGATAATTTAGTCACTCACCAAAAAAAATAGAAAAAGTAGAATATTCATGTTTTATATTCATATAAGACATTTTTTCTTATAATATTGGAGTTTGAAAGATGCAAAGAAAACTTTGATAATTACTTAAAATCCAGTAACCCAGAGATGCCCAGTTCTAATATTTTGATGTTCTTCTTACCAGTCTCTTTTTCTTTTCTTTT